ACTGCTGTCGGACCTCCCTGGGAGCGCCTCGCCCTGTCCCCTGCCTCTTCGGCCGGGACACGGCGGCTGGCGGAAGCGCCCTTCAGCCGTGGGGTTTATGGCGCTATTGTCTGTGGAGGGGCGGTCGGGGTCCCGGGCAGGCCGGAGGCGGCTGAGCCGGGAGGTGGCGAGGCCGTGTCGCGGGTCAGCTCCCGGGCCCGGGGCGGGCGGTGTATGGCAGCTCCCGCAGGGCCTGGGTGCGTGGCCGCCCCACAGCGGCCGCGGCGGGAACGGTGGCGGTGTTCGCCTTTGGTACCGGCCAGGCCTCCGAGCCCGCGGCTATGTGTGACAGACTCCTCTGGAATCGCGTGTAATTCCATAATCTGGAAGGTTTTGGTTGGGTTGGAAAGGTTTGCTGGGCCTCTTTAGTCTGGAGAAGAGAAGACTGCGAAGGAATCTCATTAATGCATGTGAATATCTCAGAGGCGGGTGCCAGGCTCCTTTCAGTGGTGCCCAGCGACAGGACAAGGAACAGTGGCCATAAACTAAAACACGAGAAGTTCCGTCTCAAGACGAGGTAAATTGAGGGTGGCAGAGCACTCGAACAACCGACCAGAGAGGTCGTGGAGTCTCCCTCCCTGGAGACATTCAAAAACCTGGACGTGGCCCTGTGTCATCTGCTTCAGGTGATCCTGCTTTGGCGGAGAGGTTGGACTGGATATCTCCAGAGGTCCATTCCAACCGTAACGATTCTGTCATTCTGTGATTTTAGAAATGATCTTCCTTGTTTTAGAAATGCCCTTTCTTACCTGCCAGCTCACCCTAAGTACACAACTTGCCTCTGAGACTTGACACAAGTAAAGTGTCCATCTACAGGAGTTGTGGTTATGAAAGTTTCTAATGTTTTGCAGAGCAGCTAACTTCTGTAGAGTTGCTTTAATGAGAAAATTAAAGAGATGTTCTACCTCTCTCCTGTTTTAGGATTAAATCCTTTCTCCCAATGTCAACAGTTAGGATTATTTCTAAGAAACCCAGGTATGGGTTTGAGAACAGTATGTGTCTCCTAGAAAGTGTTTGACAGCCATCATGTGTATTATGTCATTGTAGAATCCTAGTGAGAGTAAAGGTGCCAAGCATGAAATAGTTTCCAAGTACAGGTTTATTAGTACCTCTTACCTGTTACACTTTTCTTTCTAGCAGTCATGGTGAATTTCGCCCAAGCTGTGCGTGAACACTGGGTTCACATCCTTGTTCCCTTAGGATTTGTGATTGGATGCTATTTGGACAGATGGAATGATGAAAGATTGTCTGCCTTCAGAAACAAGAGCTTATTATATAAAAGGTATGCTTTATGATGCCTCTTATATAGATTTATAGTTATTTTTCAAAGGGCTTCTCAGTTATTTTTTACAGTTATAGGCATAACTAAAACATAACCATTTCACACCTCTCTTTCCACTAAAGTAATGGATTATTATATTTAAAAGAAGTAGAATTTTTAATTTTTGATCCAATTAAAAGTCTTTTAACTCCTTAGAAGTCAGTTGTTCTGTGCTTCCATTTAAATGAATGGAAATTCAGAGGAGTAAATCCACTGAATCTTTTGAAAGAAGTAGGAAGTTTATCAGTATGGAAAGATTTTTAACTGACAACAATTGCAAGGAAAGTTTTTACGTAACTCTCAATTAAGCTATTGTTGAATATTAACTAACAAAAATAAACACTTATATTTATTAATAATTTTTCTAAAAAGAAAGATACTAATTTTAGTCTCTCCCCTCTTATTTTTTTTTCTACACAGGGAGTTGAAGCCTGGTGAAGAAGTAACATGGAGATAGAAGCTGATAATGATAAGGAAGACATTTTTGTTTGAGTCATCATCTTATCTCACATATTGAAAGAACAGGAATATGGTTTTTATCCTGAGAGGATACTACAGTAAAGGATATCTGCAATTCATCAGTGCTAGTTTAATTTGTGATGTTACTTTTTGAAGTTGATTTAATTACATAAATAATACGCGTTCAGGAATTTCTTTAGTCCATAAGCATTGAGAAAATGTTGTTCCCTACTCTGGAAAAGAGAGGAAGAATTATAGAATAAACTATGCAAAAATCATTTGTGTTGTTATTGTTGTGTATGGTGGGGAATCCGTGTATTTATTGCTAATTAATGAACTAGCCTTTAAAGGAATATTGCATAAACTCAGAATGTGGTTGACCGGTTTTTTTACTGAACCTGATTAAGTTTCTTTTTGAATTTCCTCTGTAGGCTTGTTTAGAATAGTGGTTAAGCAGATCCTGCAGCTTTGTGAGCGGTCCATGAGGGTGTAAAGGGTGGGCAGCTGGTGAGCACAAGGCAGGAGCGGGCGGTGCGGGCGCTGCTCCTCTCGGTGCGGGAGCGGCTCGGGGCTCCGCCGGAGGAGCGAGCGGGCGGTGCGTGTCGCTCCCNTTCCCCGCGCTGACCGCCGGACAGCCCCCGGAGCCCCCCGGGTGCGCTCGGCCTTTGTCGGGCTGGGCCGCGCTGCCCCTCCCTGGCATCCCTCCAGCCTTAGGCAGTGCCTTGTCCTCTGCCTCGGAGGAGAGCCGGGGCCCTCGCTCGATGATGCCTGTGTCTATGGCCCGTCCCAGCTGGATGCTGCCCAGCCCTACAGGGAAAGGAGAGTCAGGGCTGAGCCTCAGCGTCCCCTTTGGCATGGGGATTGTGTTCTGGGGACTGCGGAAGCAACTCGCAAGTGTGGGGCGGTGTAGGCTGCAGCTGCTTGTGTTTCTTGAGAGAGAGCTCGCGTGGCTGAGGAATGAGTATGAGGATATGCAGCGGTAGGAAGGGCTGTCCCTGTGCTCTCAGACCCATCTCGTCACCGAGCCCGGCTTGCCTGTGGTGTAATGAGCAGGGAGTGGGAGAGCCATAAAGAAATCGTAGTTCATATAGTGTGCTTCTGTGTGCCGGACAGTATTTCCTGTTTTGGAGGACAAATGCTTCTGTGAACTGCTGTGATTTATCCAGGTTCCCAAATATGACCTATTTCTGTTTTAATGCTGGTCAGATAACAATTGGATTTTTTCTTCTTGCACTTCCCCAGTGTCTCTCCATCTTTATTGTGTTCGTCTTAATTCTAGTTCTTTTACTTTGTTTTGATGTGTAGGATTGACTTCCTTAAGAAGTCAAGTCAGATAGCTGTGTATCTTTCTTCGAAAAGCTGCTGTTCTGAAATCCGTAAGAAATGGAAAGTTTTCTTGTTGGTTAGGTTTGGGTTGCAAAATTTGGCAAGTGTTGTGGTGTTAAGTAGCTGCTGGTCAGAGGGTGAGTGTTGGATTTCAGCCATGCTGGCCTCTGCTTCAGTGACCTTCAGTCTGGCTTTGAAAAGAGTTTAACGAAATGTACTCTTTTCTTACATGGCCTAGCCTTTGACAGTATGAATTTTTATTGCTAAGTTGCTTTCTAGTTTAATAACAAATCTTCTGAAATTGAAGTGACAAAGCATAGTACATACAGAGTTTCAAGGTGATGGTATCTTGTAGTTCCTACTCATTCTAGGGAAGGGTGAGTAAACAGTTCTCTCATGTGAAACATACCTAAGTTAGTAACATAGTTAAAGTGCACCGGAATGTGTTTTACGTTGGAGCACCAAGTATTTTTATTTGCTGTTATTTTAGGGAAAATCTAACTGAATTATTGTCCTTTTTTCTTATGGGATATTTTTCACCCCCAAAAAGTGTTGCATGTTCCTGAGTCGGCACGGCCCAGTTGTTTTGATAAAAAGACACGAGAAACTTGGTATTTATTAAGAAAATTTAACAAAACAATGTGGCATTTTTAGAGAGAAATGACAGTTGCAGAAAGCAAGATTTAAGTATGGGGCTTCAGGAATCCCAATCTTAGAATTTTGTCCTTGATAAGATACAAGTAGTTGAAAACACTGAAAGCAGGGCAGCATTTTATGTCAGGAGAGGTGTCAATAAGGGGATTTCAGGTTATGGAAAAGAAGCGATGTTCTCTGTACAAAACAATGGAAGCTCGTGTCAGTTAAATACTGTAGGACCTGGTTTTTGCATTTGGTGAATAATGTGTATAACTTTTAGATATGAAAATTAAGGCTTATTGCTTTCAGATAATACTGTACAAATACAGAAAGGTTCTTTTAGTGAAATTAAGATGTAAGCATGTAATGCAACTGATTTTCAAAGTAAAATTGTATTTTACTATCTCTCTGTTTGTAAACCAGTTTTATATAATTCTAGTGGGGAAGCCTGTGTTTATTGAGCGGATTCTTCTGTTACAGTTTTGTCATATGACCAGCAGCAGGAATGTGGTCCTAGAGGGACAGAAGCTGGTGTTTAGTCTTGTATTTCTTGTTGCAGGAAGGGCATGAGTTGGAGGAGGTTTCTGGATTCCATTGAAGCTTGTCTGTACAGCCAGTGTAGCTATAATAACTCATTGCTCAACTGAGTGATGAAGCCATAGGAAGATTCTGGAGTAAAGGGAACTTTTGAGGCTTCAGCTGTAAGGGGGATCATGGGAAGGTCCTACATATGATCTGTATGATGCTTTTCTGGAATTTTAAAGAATATTCCTCAAAGGCATAGTCTTGTATTCTTAGTTTCTGTGGGTCAGGCTTGAGAAAGGGGTGAAAAAGAAAAGCAGGATTTTAAAACTGATGTTACTTGTCTTGCACCTGGATTCTCAGATATTTGTAGAAAAAGGTTGCTTTTCATGGATATTGCTTTGGTTGGTTTACATTGTGTTTTTGTTTTTCTTAACAAGAAAGTATTTTATCTCACATATGAAAATGATGGAGCCTGTCATGCATTCATTCAGATCAGAGATTTTTTAAAATTTGTACTACAAAATCATGACTGACATTAGCCTTTTATAATTTGTGCTGATATTTTAAAAATGCCACACTATAGCTCTATTATCTGTAAGGTGCTGAGTGCACAACAAAGTATCTGAAGTGTTTTTTATTTAAAGGGTCTATAAATAAAAAAAAAATATTTTTTAATATGCTGAAATTAATAATTTTTTTCTTGTTTCCCATCATTGTTTTCAAAATTTTCAAGCTAGTGGTATGACCCTATTTTATCTACTTCCTATCTGTAAATTTCATGTGAAAAATGAGCTTTTCTGTTCCTCCAGCTCCTAATCACTTTCTTGACAATAACATGAAGAGCAGATTACCAATAGTCTACTCTGGAAGGAGAGAAAAGTTAAAAAATAGTGAGCTTGTCCGTTATAGATAATGTTTGTTACTAGGAAGTAGAGATCTAAACTGTTTGATTTTTCAAGCATTGATATTTTTGAAGAGGATAGAATCCTTTGTTCTGATGGTTGCAGGGTCTCTGTGTGATTTGTTGGGTCATATGGGTTGCCAGTATTTATGGTGTTTTCAAAAACAATTTTTACATTAAATATATTTCTCTTGAGGAAATAAGGTAGAATGCATGTTGGGTTTTTTCCCCTCAAGTTGATGGGAGAGCTTGCAGTAATGTAATGTAATAGATTGAAAGAATATATGGTATTTTGCCTGAATGGGGAGGGCAGGAAGTTTGCCAGAATGAAACAGTTGAGTCATTTTTCAGAGTGTGTATAACCTGGTTTTTTTTCTTCATTTTCTTTTTCCCATTGGTATTTATTTCCCTTCCATTATTAGCAAGAAGGCTCATTGTGTGCTCAACATTGTCTGAATAATTTGCTGCAAGGGGAATACTTTAGTCCTGTTGAGTTATCCTCTATTGCACAGCAATTGGATGAGGAAGAAAGGATGAGAATGGCAGAGGGAGGAGTATCTAGTGAAGAATACAGGACTTTTTTACAGGTAAAATTATCTTCATTTGAGGTTGCTTGATATTGCCTGAAATGTTGTATTGTGTGGCACAGACCTGTTATTCTTGCATTGCTAGACAAGGTTAATTTTCTAGTGCTAAAGCTTTTTAAATTTATAGGCCTTTTCATTAATGTATCTTGGATGTGACATTTTCAAGTGTTACTAGTACAGCTTTACAATAATTGTACAAAAAGCTACATTACCTTCATCTTATGAGTGGGAAGATCAGTCATGATGAGGAGGATCAGTAATTTGCCATTTGTTTTTGTAGCCAGTGTCAGTTAGGAACAGAAATTCCTGTCTGTCTGCCCTTTAAGTACTGAACATCTCTAAAGGTTTGAATTTTAAATTAATGTGCCTATTTGAGGCATTGTAATCGGCTTTACAGACAAAGACATAAGTCATTGCTTTAAGAATCTGCAGTTACATTTATTTTCAAAACTCAATTATTTTTGACCTTTTATGCTTATACCATTTTTCCCTTTTCTCCCTCTCAACTTCACATTGAGCAGCAGCCTTCTGTAAATATGGATGATAGTGGATTCTTCTCAATTCAAGTAAGCACAGCTCTCTTCTGACACCATCTTCTATTTATGCAATATATGTTCTCTTATATAATTTAAATAGCATTGAGCTTTTCCATCTAGTTGCAAGTTCATGGGCTTAATGGGATTAAGTGCTGGACTTCCAAATGTTCAGAGTGTTTTCCATTAAGAACAGTGACTTGCAGTTCTTCAGTTCATGGGCCCTCAAACACATCAGAGAAACGTGGATTCAGGAGCTGTGAAATGATGCCTGCTGCAATAAGCTTGACTTCTAAGCTGTTTCTTGTGGGCACTTCAGGTGTAGACCTTGACTCCCACAGGCTGTAGGTGAAGAAGCAGAATTCAGATAGCTTTCTCAAAGTATAGACAGAAAGACCTTGGCAATGGTTACAGTGTTACCACAGTGATCTGCAGATTTTCTTGGGTGTTTTTGCTTTTTTTAAGGCCATAGGGGAAAAGTAATCAATAATAAATACATAGACCAGAAAAAAAACAAGAAAAGGTTTGAACACCAAATTGGGGCTTTTGCCTAGATTAGAACTCTAGACATCTTTGGCTGTCTCCCAAGCTTTCAGTGGTTCTTGCCAGACTCCTTAAGAGCCTCTCTTCCTCATGGACGACTGGTCTGCTTTTCTTTCTAATAAGAAACCATTAACAGTTTGGCTTTCCTGCTATCTTTGGGCTGCTTCAGTAGCTGAAAAAAAATGTTTCCTCATTCTACTTTTTTATCATTGCTTTGTCATTTGAGGCACAGTTGGCTTGCTGGAAGGAATTTGAAATGTTAACTTAGAAGCTCTTAACAGTATTATTTTGTGTAGCTTTAGGAAGTTATTGTAAAAGAGTTGGTGTTCAGCTCAATAAACTGACTGATCCTGTGATAATCCAGTGGATAAAAAATCTCCAGCAGTTACTGTGAAGAAAGATTGAGATTATATGTGGTGGGGGGAAGTAGGGCAGAGCAGTGCACTGCAAGTAGATGACAATTTATGAAGTCTCTGTGGTAGGTGAAATTACAGCTTTGTTTAGCAGAGTAAGCTCATTAACAGAGATGAGTTAAATCCTGGTTTTGTTACTTTTCCTTAGATAAGTTATGAGTTTTATGCTTGCGTATAGATTCATGACCATTGCTTTTTGAGTAATGTGATTCCCAGGTTTCCTGGCAATGTTTTGAAATGTAGGTATTATGAAAACAGTATAATTGTTTAGTGTAGCTAAAGCTAAGATGGTTGTATTGCTTGAACTTAGATTTGAACTAGTCTGACTTATGAAAAGTATTCTTTTTTGACAGGTTATAAGCAATGCCTTGAAAGTGTGGGGTTTAGAACTAATCCTCTTCAACAGCCCAGAGTACCAGAGACTTGGGATCGATCCTATGTAAGACTTTTTCGCACCCTGTTTTTACTTTACAGAAAAAATGCCCTTAATCTATGTTTTAAATCTTTCTTTAAAATTGCTGCTTTATGGTCTGTTGCATTTTAGTGTTTGTATTACCCCCTGGCTTTGATTTATTTATTTTTATTTTTATTTTTTCCTTTTTGGGGGTGCATGAGAACGTCTGTCCTTTGTGCCTTCATATTTTAGTATCTGTAGAATCACAGGTATATTGAGATTTCAGTGATGTTGACAGTTTCCTGAATGTTATAAAGCAGTATGAGTATTCTGTAATGTAACAACAATAGTTGTAGTACTGAAATTTTATTATGTAAGTTCAAATTAGTGATAGCAAAGATCTTAAACATTATTATGTACTCTGATTTTAGAGTATTTAATTTTATTTATACCTTTTGTTTTTCTTTTTACAGAAATGAAAAATCATTTATTTGTAATTATAAGGAACACTGGTTTACAGTTCGAAAGTTAGGAAAACAGGTGACACTGTCTTTTTTTATTTTAAATTTGGCTTCAGAAATGGGTGTGGAAAGGTGATTGCAAGTAGATTGTGCTTCCCTTTTGCAAGCTTTTGCTGCAGTTTGTTTTAATAGTATCCCATATTAAAAAAAGGGTAAATGTTTGTTTTATCGCAAAAATGCCAGGTGGGTCATTGTAAATGTTAGCCTGGGAAAAGACAGTAGAATCAATTCCCTAGTGTCCTCAGGGAGCTGAAGCTCTGGGAGGGTCTTATATGACTTCTTAAGCTGTTTTATTTTTCCCTCCTTCATGAAATACTGAAGAAAAATTGTACTTGACAGGGTGGGGGAATCCTGGAAAATTATTAAGATCCCTACAGAATTCAAAAACTTGTTTTAATGCAATAAGATATTGGCATTGTAAAATAATTTTGTTTATTTAAATGAGCAGTAGATACAAGGAAAAGTTCAACGTTTTGATGGACAATAATGTATACTCAAAGGAGTATCCAGTAGAATGAGGTTTGGGGAAATAGAACTTTGTACTATTATAGAAAACTTTGAAACAATTGTATTCTAAGCAGGAAATAGTTACTAAAGGTAAGGAATGGCCATATTAGTATATGGTACATATGTACCAACTCAGTTCATATCCATGTCCCTTACCACCAATTCAGTGTTTTATTTCAGTAGCCAGTCATTTTTCTGGATCTTCATAAGCTTTTATACAACATGAACTGATTCGGTGTTTAATTTTTACAGGGCTTTTTTTCATGGGAAACAGCTTTTAGAGTCTGTAATAGTGGGACAGGAGTCTGTTTGTCCATTTAGTTCATTTTTGCAAGTTCTGGCTATTTATGTTGTCATCCAGATTTAAAAAAAAAAAAAAGAAAAATTACCTGTGAGTGAGAAAACTAATCTCTGCTGTTCTGCTTTAGTTTAAATTTATGGCTAATGTTTACAGGCATTTTTTGTTTATTTGATATCAAAGAGGCTGGATGTTATCTTAAAATTATTGAAATGTGCCTTATTCTACAATGCAACCATGTTGGGTTCTAACAGTGTTTTATGAGACAGTGTTCTAACCCAAGACATCCTAAGCTGGAGGGAGGATGCCTTTTTAATTTTTTACGTGGCTTGTAACCACATGAAGACAATACCAGGTGTCTGTTATCTAGAGGGTAGTGAGGAAAATTCGACAAAATAGGTTGACTTAGATTTATTTGACCTGCTTCTCCTCTGTTACAGTTAAAGCAAAATCAGTTTAATGGAACTTTCTCCTCCATAATGTCTTCTAAAAGTTACTGTAGTCTGTCCATCAAATTTTTTACAAAACTTTTTATTCATTACTCTTCTACACTGTTGGTCTGCTTACCCTTTCCTAGTGGCAAAGAGTGTTTTTGGAAGATTAAGTGATTGCATGACACGGCGGTGGGCAGTCATTTACATTATTGTATGGGCCTGGCTGCAAACATGTGGGTGCATAATGTGAAAGTGTGGGTAGATAGATCAGTGCATTTCTGTGAGAATGGAGATAGAATTTTCCTTCCACTAGCTAAAATGGTGCTTTCTGGTTAAAACTGCATAATACTGAATGAGTAGGTCTAAAAAAAAAGTTCTTTAGCTTCATTGGAATCTATATGGGAGTTTAAAGATAGAATATTTTGTTTCACATTGAATATATTTTCTTTCTAGAAGTTTTATGTAAGTATAATACTGTTTCTGTTTAGAAGTGTTATAAATTACTAGTTAGGGTCTTTGGGGAACTAGAAATGAGTTGTGTATGTCTATAGGAAGAGTTCCCTGTTGTAATATAGTGCTGTACTCTCAGAATATTAAATTTGAGTAAATTTTTATTAATTTTGAAGTTTAAAAATTATCTGCAGGAAGGGTAAACACTAGTTTTCAGTATCACCAGCTATTAAAGGTGTAATGTTCAATGAAAGTATTTAGTGGAAATAATTGAGTGTCTGTTTCCTGTATCTAATAATTTCTTAACACATATCATTAACTGATGAAGGATTTCTTACTGCATTAGTCTCAGGTTTAAAACTAGGATTAAGCAGAATTTTAGAATGATGTCTGAAATAAATCAAAATACAGTGGTTAAGGATTATCTGTGTTAACATGTTTCCCTGCTACCAGTATTCAGTAATAGGAGAGAGCATGCAGTAATTTCCACACTTCAGATGTCCTATTAGATTATTTGAAGGATAACCTTTAGCAGTATAGGTATTATGCTCAAAAAAACTCTTATTTGATAATTTATTTTACTAAATTTATTCAGATATTCCATAATAAAAAATTACCACAATGTACAAGAATGGATTACTGAGTAATCTTCATGCTAATTTGTTCTCTCAACCTTTTTTTTTTTCCTTAATTACAGTGGTTTAACTTGAACTCTCTCTTGATGGGTCCAGAACTAATTTCAGATACATATCTTGCACTTTTCTTGGCTCAATTACAACAGGAAGGTAATAGTAACTTGTAGATGTTAAATCTCATTAATTAAAAGTAGGTAATAATCATTATTTCTTAGAATTTATGTATTCAGTTAACTATTCATAGTTTTATGATTGAAATAGTGAAATAACCCAAGTCCTTATAATGGAAGGTAGAGTCTTACCTCTTATATTGCACATGATTGTATTCCATATAGTGTACATTTTAGAGTGTTTATATCTGCACTTTAATGGTGTAGACTTACGGTTTCTTTTTCTCAGGTTATTCCATATTTGTAGTAAAAGGTGACCTGCCAGACTGTGAGGCTGATCAGCTGCTGCAGATGATTCGGGTACAGCAGATGCAGCGACCAAAACTGATTGGAGAAGAGGCAGCACAGTCAAGAGATCAGAGGTAAGGTAAATAAAGATTTTGTTTCAATGATGTTCAGTATGATTGGTTTGCAATTTGGAAGTAATAACAAGTATATTTAGTTCAATGTTTACTGCCGTTGCACCCAGTAAAAGCAAGTTGATAGACAACATACAGATGTATTTTTAGTGGGTAAAAGCTGTCTTGATAACGATTGAGTCTTTCCATGTGCATAAGCTTATTATAGTGCAGATTTTTGACTTAGGGAGGAAAATGGTTTAGCGAGTCTAATGAACTATTGTTAATAGTCATTGTTCTATAATTAAGACTGGTCTGTGCATTTTATCATAAGTAGAAAAGAATGAGAAACTGATCTTTGAATTCCACATCATATAAATCATACAGCATTCCCTTTCGGAATAATTTCACTGTAATGTTGTGGTGCTGCTCATTTTTGATGCATTCTGCTAATATAAAACATCCTTGAAAGCGTATAAAGTCAGCACTTTATGTGCTTCTGCAATGATTTAATTGAATTTTCATAGTGAACAAATTGCATACCGATAAAAAGGCTTTAGACTTCTCAGAGGAATTAATTATTTTTTCCCCTTTGTTAAAGTGATGGAATAATTAGCAGTAACATGGAAAGTGTTACATAGGTTCTGTTGTTTTGGAGTGGCCTTCAAGGCCTGCTGAGAGAGAAGGAGACCATATGCACTCTCTTCTTCTTGTGTAACTGTTTGAATAGCAGTAGGTTTGAAGAACATGTCATGCCTTTTTGTGGGTTTATCATTTTCTGACAATTTACTAACAGCTTCTTGTCAACATGTGCATTGCTTTAGAGGATAGTGTGTGGCAATTATGTGTTCAAGTCCCTCTGCAGTTGCTTGCAGCCCTTTTGTGCTTTTTCATTTTTCAGGAAAATGCTTGTTAACACAACAGACTTTTACAACAAGAATGTTTTTCCCAAAGTTAAACCTAGCTTTATACTGGCAGAACATACTAATTTAAACCTCATGATAAAATCTAATATAATCTCTATCTGAATTTTGCTAAGAATGTATGAATTTCACAGGCTACCCAGAAGTGATGTGGACCAGGCAATAGAAGTTAACCATCCGTTTGATGGAACAGGCATGTTAGACGAAGATGAAGAGAATTTTCAGAGAGCCCTGGCTCTAAGTAGGCAGGAAATTGATATGGAGGATGAAGAAGCTGATCTTCGCAGAGCCATTCAGCTCAGCATGCAAGGTGCAGTGCTCATATAAATTTCTTACAGTGCTTTAAGCACCTCCTGGAATCAATTTCTCAGGCACTTTTTCCAGCATGTGTCAATATCTCTGGAAAGACTGGTGTGAGGCATGGAAGGACAATCCAGGATTGCCTGTAGCTGCTGATCTCTATCCTGCTTTTTTAAAAGTTGCATTGATTCTTAGGAAGGAAGAACAAATTGGCAAAGGGTGGCAGGAGGAAAGGGAAACAGTCCTTAGGTGATGAGAGAGAATATCAAGCGAAATTACTTTAGGTGCTTAGTTCTCCAAAAAGTATTTTTTCTTCTCAAGTTTGAAAACATTTTTTAAGTTAGTAAATGAAATATAACTTCATTTTACTATAATTAGTAAATTAGTAGGATTAATTACATAAAATTATATAATTATATTTATAATTATGTAAATTATAATTAGTAGGCTATGGCATGTTCTGCTTTTAGGTAGCCGTCAAAGTGAGCTCTCAGGCTCATTACCACAGAATGTTCCTCAGTCGTCTCACAGCAGTCAGACTCACTCCCTTTCTTCAGAAGAACTGCGAAGGAGAAGACAAGCATATTTTGAAAAGTAAAGTAGCTGATAGAAAACTGCATGTGGAAGTGCATGTTGTATTTGTCAGTGCTTTTGGGATGTGGATGGATTTCTTACTGAGGTCCAGCTCAACTTTTCTGTCTTAACATGATTTCCTAACAGTACCTGAATTTCACTATTCTCAGGTGGTTCCTACAAAGAAACCTCTAGTAAGAGAGTGTTCGTTAATAACGCAGTAGTCTTGCTACTGTTAAAAGTCTTGTGAAGAAAGAAAAGAAAACATACATTATAGAAGTATTTTAAATGAAATCCTGTAAATTTCTGCAACTACCTTCCCAACAAAAAGTATTATTTCTCTAAGACTTTGCTTTGGGTAATGATGCTTCTCACGTGCATCACACAAAAGCATTGTACATATTTTATGTTACTGTTCTGGTGAACCTTCTTAATAGATAGAGTTATTGTAGCTTTTCCTTATCTCTGTCTTATAGCAATAGAGGAAATAAAGACCAGGGAGAAATGCTATGGATGGGAGGAGTTAGATAAGAATGGAGAACTTCTGAATCCTGGGAAAATAGTCTTGTGGCTTGGAGTAGAATACTGGGAAGATAGGTATCTGAAGGTTAGCAGGGTGGAATGAGGAAAGAGATTTTGGGCACAGGGGTGATATTGTACCAAACAGCTTCTACTTTTGACTCCCTGCCTTCCTTACAATGAAATGAACTTGATTCAGGCCTCATGCTGATGTTAATCTTATTCTCTTATAAATGTATGACACTTTCAGACAGCAACAACAGCTACAGCAGCAAGATCAGACCCCAAACCTACAGGACAAAGCAACTCTTAGCTCAAGCCCTCCAGAACCTGGCACAGGTATTGTTTTTCAACCTTACATCCAACACAGAAACGTGCCTTTTTCATCTTTGTGTTGTTTCTTAATTTTCCTTGTCTGTCTATTTCGTCACTTCAGCATCCATTCTGATTGTGTACTACAGCCATTATATTGGGAGTGGAGGAAAGGATCACTTTCCTGAAAAGCCTGTTTCCCTTTGAATGTCAATATCCTATTTCTAAGTGAAGAGTGTTGCTATTACCCCAACAGTTTGTTTTCTAAATTACTTTTAAAGTTGTATGACAACTTGGATTGGTATCTGACAAAATTACTGGAACCAGTTTTCAGAAGAACGTGTGTAGACCTTATCAGTGTTAGGTATTGGTGATCCAAAATTAGTGTGTATTGTTACAAAGTGACTGTTGTTGGTGAAATGCTATTTGCAAAATGTTCAGTGATTTTAAAAACAAAACCAGTTTTGTCAGTGGGGTACAAAAATGTGGGTGTGGACGAAAGGAACAACAAAATCATTTAACTATGATTAAGAACTGTGAATTTATTGCAGCTTGTATTGCATGTATTGTCTTTAGGTGGTGATATGAGCGAAGAAGACATGCTTCAAGCAGCCATGAATATGTCTCTGGAGTCTGTTAGAAACCACTTGAATTCGGAAGAGGAGAAATAACATCATTTTATTCCCTTTTATTGTCAAAACGCTAAGTCACCATTAAAATTCTACTGTGTGAATGTTGCACAAGCAGGGTTCATTTCAGAGTTCTGGAAGTAGGAATGAAAGGGGGGCTGCTGAAGGTCAGTTTAGAGGATCTGCAAATACAAAAATGATTGCACTAATTTAGAGAACTGTAGCACTCCTACTACAAAACATCTGCTCATAGGAGTAATGGTGTTAAAATTACTGGAACTATTCATGCAAAGTTAGACAAGGGTAGCAGCTGTAACTTAAAAAAGTAAAGCATTTAAAGCTTGCATTAAAAAAGCAAGTTTAAATTGTTTTGAAGAGTTCTGTAGAAGATTCAAATGGTGCTGAAAACAGCATCAAATTATTTTCTTCAGTACTAATGGAAAAACAGATACAAATAATAAGTTATGTTCATAAATTCTTTTTAATAGATCACTCTAAAGTGGGGAGAGTAATTAAATTCCATTAATCTTAAATTATTTTGTAATTCTTTATTATGAATGACTTAATGTCAACTTTTTGATCCTGCTGTCTACTTTTGAAATTATCCATTCTGCAGGAGAAACAAGGAAGAATCCATAAATTTCATACTTTTCAATTCAAGTCAAAATTTTCAGTGTATTGTTGACTATAATGTTACTCCCGAGTCTTTCAGTGATTTCTGACTTTATAATAATTTTTGGTTTTACCTTCAATTCCAATTGTAAAATTTTAGGCCCATGTTTAATGTACTGTCTTTTAGCAGATAACTTGCCTTATTTGGCTTGGAGTTTTGTTTTCTTGTTTTGCTTTTAATTATTGTTTTCTTATGTTCTTTCTTGTTAAAGCCACTGTCTTTTTACTTCAAAAGCAGCATATACTCAATTGGGTTGAACAGGTTTTATTTTCTACCTCTTCCAGAGTCTTTTCCTCTTCAAGCTCAACCCTTCATTATGGCTTTTCAGTATGAAAGAGCTGTAACTGAATCTAGGAGAAGGTAGGAGGGGATTTAGGTGCCATAAAGTCAGTGCCACACGCATAAGGTGCATTCCTGCAATCTGAAATGACCCCTGTGCAAGTAGCTCTTTTAAGAATGAGTATTTATGCCTGTGTGGATGTTCTTTCTGAAATGCTTTTTATGAGTGTCTGTCAGAATGTTGCAGTTTTTTCAGGAATGGCCTTTATTCACGCACCTTACAATTTTTTATCATGTTGTTTCTGATCCTGAGAAAAATTGGGAAGCAAAGTTTGTGAGATAGCTTATGTTATTGGTTGTAAGACATTTGCTTTGATATCTAGGATGAATGTGTAACAGGGTGACCAAACCTGACTTTGAACTTCAGTGCAACAAAAGAGAGATGTTTCATTTTCCTAAATGGTGCTTGAAATACAAATTCTGTTTACATATAAATTATATGGAAATATGTTGTAGATAGAGTATATAAGCTGTAGTCCAGTTAAAGCATTAACAGTTAGCACAGGCATTCTAAGAATCTTTCAAAGATAACCCAAAATTTCTTTATCAAAGTATTCTAAAGTTATATCTTTGCACAATAGTAACATTTAATTCAAATTAGTAGGAAATTAATGGTAGCTAGATGGAAATACACATTCAGCATCAAGTAGTACTGTACATGAAAGGGCTTTTACCTCTCAGTAAAGATTTGTCTACAGCAATGGTTTCCTGATAGCTTAGGATATTACACATAATTGGGCTAAATTCTGTTTTTCTTATCCATGTGCTGGATTTTCACCAATGTCAACCGGAACCACTGGTATGTGTTACACAACATTGATTTTGACATGAAACAGCACTACTTTCTAAAAACTAATTTTTGTCTTTTTAAAATAATACTGTCATACATATTGTAGTTATTTGTAATGTCTCAAATTAATATAGCTGAACAATGACTTTAAAAGTCCATGTGTGTGTATGCCATTTTGAAATGCTGTATTTTTCAGGGTGTGATTTTCTGCTTTCAGTTTGAAATTTCTGTGAAACTGAAAGCATGAAAAGTGTCTAAAGCACTGATTTTATTTTTTTTTTCTCATCTGTCAATTAAATACAGCTTAATTTTCCTTTTTTGGTTGTGCCATAAACTAATGCTAAAATAAGACTCATTTTTATAAATAGGTATAGACTGGCAATCTGATGCCAGTACTTGGAACTCAGACCTTTTATCCTCCTCTATTATAAAAACATACTAAAATTATTATTTCTGTAGCTCTAGCAGCCTTATATTAAAAAAAAAATAAAAACTAGACAACTTAGCCCCTTGAATCTCACTGACTTGTAAGCCATGCCAACTACATGATTTTATAATCACTAAAACATGGAGGTTTGCCTTTGAACTTTCATGTCACATCATCAGTCACTTCATCACCCAAGTATTTTAATATGGAAGGAATATAAAATGTCAGTGCCTGAAAGGTGCAGCTGAGTCAGTGCACAGGCCAACCATTTCCCTCTCTGTGGGGAAATGCTGTCACTCAACAACTACCAGTTTGATTTTTAAAGAAATGTCAAGCAGAATGAGGTAGGCATGTCCATCTTGACAAGCAGTTACAAGAGTAATTTAAGCTACATCTGTTAATTCATGTAATTCTGTCACTGAAAAAGACCTGCAAGAAACCAAGCCTTAATCCAGCCCAGTCCACCACTAAATGTAATGTTCCTAAGCACCACAACTACACCTCTTTTTAAAGAGCTGCAGGGAGGAGACTCAACCACTTGCCTGGGCAGCCTGTTCCAATGGTGGATGACCCTTCCAGAGAAGAAATACTTCCTGATACCAAACCTGAACCTCCCCTGGTACAAACTGAAGGCTGACACACACCACACTACAACCTTCTTTCAGGACTTGTAGGGAGTGACAGGGTCTCTATTTGAACTGTACCCAAGGAAAAGACTCGTACTAATTGCTGACAGTACGTATTTTATAACCCCGGTCTCAAGTTCAAAATGTCTGGACCTGCCAAGAAGCTGTCAATAAAACACTGCTGTCATTTTTTGGTGTGCATTCTTTCAATGATAAATAGTCTAAGTGCAGTTCAACTATGCTTCTAATTTACTAATTTTGGGTGTACTTCCAGTGTTATCTACCCTGTCACACAGAAGGGTTGGGCTTTGTCCCATGTTACAGCTTTAGGCCAAAGTTCATTGTTGAGCAGTGGATGTTGATTTTTTTATTTTTTTTTTTTTAAAATTTTATTATTGTTAAAAAGTTACATTTGAGGGAATTTCAGACTTCATTAATTCAACAGATTCTTACTATTTTCCAGTGAATGCTCCATGTGACAAATTATGGTTTTCTTCCAGTAGAAATCAAAGGGGCAGGGGAAATGAGTGATACAATAAATATCAAAATTGCATCTCTAAGTATGATTCTGCAAACTGCTTTCTTGGTCTTGGTGAGGGCAGGAGGAACAAGAGTTGTAATGCAGTCATCCTTTTATGCATTCTTGTTAGGCACAGCAAGTATAAATATTAGCTGTTTAAATGCTTATATTTTTCTAGACCTGAAACTAGTATGATACAATACTGTCTTTCTTTAACATTTGTGCTTGTTGTGCCCTTCAAAGAACTGAAATAAATTTAAGTGTAATTTTCAGCTACGGTACTCTTCTTACTTGTCATACTTTACTACTTTGCAGACTACTTGAAAACAACCAATATAAATTTAAATCTATGATGTGTTCTAATGTTGGACTATTGCTTCTATTACACACTTACAGAATGGTGGGGGTGCAGGTGTCTTGTAGACAAATATTATAATTTGCAAGCTGCTTAGTCTTATTACAAAAATGACAGGCTTAAAAATGAACATGTTACAGTTCTAAAATGTGAAAATCTCTAGTGTTAAATATTGGCTCAAATAATGATGAAAACATAAAAATGGTGGCCTTTGTACTGAAAAATGCAATATAGGGGAACAGGATCAGAGAATTAGAATTCAGACTTAAAAAGAAGTTGTATTTTGCAATTTGTGTTATCAGCACATCACTTTTGAAGGAACTGAAATAAGAATCCAAGGAAAAGAAAAACTGATGTGGAAACTTTTTAAGGGCTTAGATAGAAAATTATGTTGTTCACTTGGTAAGCCATTACTGTCTTGCATAGAGCAAACTTAAGTCTGGGCAAATACTGATAATTATTCACAAATCATTACCAAAAAAAGGAAAATAAGTCCAACATGTAATAAATACATACCTATTCCATAGACACAATCACTTGTTCAAGTGAGAATAATACTTAATGCATTCAAACTGGCGGGGTCCAAATATCTAGTTCTTCAGTTTAGAGGTGGTAGCTTTGTCTTGTATTCGGGTTTTCATCTTAAAAGCATGAGCTCTTCTGCAATAATTTTTTTTAATCATCATACACACATCTTGCCTTATTTGTATTTCAGAGATGGAGGAAATGCTGGAGTATTTAACCTGCTATAGTCAGCTCCTTCCCCAGTTACAGTTCTCCAGACAGTTAGTACATGTGACTTTTCAACTGCTTTCACCAAATCAAAATGTTTATACATTATTTTGTTTGTCAAAAAAATAATTATAACTACATTTTTATTTTAATCTTTCCTTATCCTCAGTATTGCCACTGGGTGAATTCAGGAGGGGACTTGTAAGAGTTTGGAAAAAGGTATGTAATGTTCAAATGCCACTGTGCAAAAGCAAAATGAAAAAAAAAAAAAAAGAAAATATAAAAATCTTGATCTTGTCTTTAAAGCATATAAGCTTTTGATAAAATTTTATTTTTTGCTACATGAAACCCCCTGTGTAGAAGTCAGTGTAGAGTTAGGATTTTGTAAGGGAATAATTTTTCATCTCTTGCCTAATGGTTGTGTATTTTAAAAATTATTTTCAGTAAGATTTTTTGTCAAGACTGTTTTCATATCACATCTTTGGTTCTGGATTCCTGTATAATTTTTGCCTATTTTGTGTATATAAAGCATAGAATAATGAAAAGATTTAAAAAGGGAAAAATGAAATGCTTTGTCATTGTTTTGACTGGAAAATGGCAACACTGTTCAATATTTTGAAAATGGTCTCCAAATAGGCATGAATATATATGGTTGTATTTGATATCACTTTTTTAAATAAATATGATTATAGCTTCTAATGTTTCTCTCTTAAGTATTTGCATATGTGCTTTCCCTTATGTGCAGATTGGGCACAGAATCATCAAACATTGAAATCTCATCCCTCCTATCAGTGAGCTTTGCACCAGAGGTGTGTAGAGACACAGCAGTGGGATAGTTTTCTGTTGCTGACATTTCATCATCTCTGATGTCTTTGCATCTGTTGATACTCCAAAAGTTGCTTAAAAACACTCCTGTTAAGAAAGGAAGCTGGTGCCAATTATGTTTAAATATGGTATGCTAATTTTTAAAGTAAGGTACAGTTTCCTGCTTTGCTGCCAGAATACTCATTCTTTTTGTGACACAATGCATTGCTCTTGTAGCTTAGTCAATACAGAGTATACTGGATGGCACAGAGTGCCCCTAATTAACAATGGATGAAGTCAGTCAGCTAAAAGGTTACTTGCAATGCTAAAGAGTTTCTAGTTTTGCAAGAGTAGTAAATAAAAAGAGCAGTACAAAAAGTTTTCTATGCTGCTTTATTGACTATATGCCTTATTTGGCATTGTAAAATTAACCACCACATTTTTATCATCCCTTAATATTTTATATGTGTGCAGGACATCCATGATCTTAGTTGAAAAAATGCCAAGACAATTTATTTAGCCAGACACTAAATGGCACATCTTTACTGTCATGAGGACCCATACAGGTTTTGTTAAACCAATGAAAAGGGGTCTTTTGATCATTGTAAACTTTTCATCTCTATTAAACTCAGTATTGCAAATTAGTAAATCTGATAAAGGTACATGTCTGCATTCCATGCTGTCACAGCACTTGTACTTTCCTACAATACTGATGCTTTCTTTTTTTTTTTTTTTTAGCCAGAAATGGATTTGAAGTGGGGTATGATTGGTTTTATTGTGGATAATCATAAGGGTGACAAGTGTACCATTAAATTAATATACTGGTAAAATCAGTCATCAACCTGATAGAAAAAATTATTCAGTGAAGACGAGGGAAAACAATTTTTATTAGAGAACTAAAGAACTTTTAACTTCTAAATTCCTGGACCACATACCATGCTCAGCCTTAGAGCTGCCTGTGACAGAGGCTATTCAAGCTAAAAGGTAATACATTATTGCAGGCCAGCCATGAACCCTTCACCAAGACTCTGCAAGATCCTGTTTGGGAAGCAACAAGCAGGTTGTTCCATGTCTGTCTGGTAATGTTTGCCGACTTACAACTCTAGAACCTGTGTTTTTACCTGCTGCATTCCCAGACTTCTAAGAAATCTAAGATTCCACCTACTCTTCTCAGCTTCATTTTGCTGTTGATGTGATGCTTTAATTATGCATCTTTTTATGCAGCTATCAATTTGAAATAGTTAAAGAGCCAGCTGCCCTGTATTTTATTTCCAGTATCTGCATTTTTTTATAACAGTGTCATTCTGACTGGTACAAAACTTCTTTTTCTGTAACTCCTTGTAGTCCCAAGTTTAAATACCTCACTTGATCAGAAAACAAAGGGAACTTTGAATTGGAGCAGTTTGGGGGTTCTGGCTGGAAATACAACCGAGACTCACAGAATGGGTCAGGTTGGAAGGGACCACAGTGGATCATCTGGTCCAACCTCCGTGCTCAAGTAGGGTGATCCCAGTATTCAGATGATTCCTGAGTATCTCCAGGGAGGGTCACTCCACAGCCTCTCTAGGCAATCTGTTCCAGCGTGCAGTCACTACACAGAGTAGTTTTTCCTGATATTCAGGTGGATCTTGTGTCCTGACCGTTGCAGAAACCTTGTCCCACTGCTGGGCACCAGCGGGAAGAGCCCGGACCCAGCCTCTTGGCACCTCTCCTTGAGATTCTGATAGACATAGATTAGGTCCCCTCAGTCACCTCTTCCCCATCCAAACGTACATCCTCCATGTACTCCACAGCAGCCGGGGCTTCAGGATCTTGTGTGGTTTTTGAGAACACATTTTCAAACAATAATCGTGTCTAATCTCGTGCACAGCACACTGTTTTGCTAGTGGCACAGGTCCATCCCGACGGGCGAGCTCCCCACAATCACACGGGGCTCCACGCCGCCCTCCACAATCACACGGGGCTCCACGCCGCCCTCCGCGCCCCGCCTGCTGCTCCGCCACCATCCCGGCATCCTCTGCTTCCGCCCACACGCCACATCCGCCTCCCAGGCGGCGCTCTAGCCCGAGCGGCCGCGCTCTATGGTGTTTGGGAGGGGTGTCATGGCGGCCGTTGAGGTGGCAGCGGCCGGAGCCGCCGGGAGGAGTCGCTGAGCCAGGACGGGACAAGACAAGCCGGGAGGAGCGGCTGAGCCGGAGGAGCCGGGAGGATGCGCGAGGCTTTGGCGGAGGAGTCGCCGAGGCCGGTGTGCTGAGCCCGCAGCAGGAGCCGCCGAGCCCGGTGTGCTGAGCCCGCAGCAGGAGCCGCGACCCGCTGTAGCGAGAAGGGAGGCGGAGGCGGCC